CGAACTAACCCATAAACACAGCCTACTGAGTTTCTCGCCGGATCTTGTCAATGGCTCGCGATTCCGATCCGGTAGCAGATTCTGCGAAGCACTATTCTTGCTAGGGCTAGTGTTAGCAAATTCTCTCAGGTTGAGCCCGTGAGCTCAACTACCCGTCCGGGCGTAGCTGAAATAGCCTCTTACTATCAAATAGGATGTTATAAAAAGGAAAATCACTACATAGTATAAAACAAAGTCGCTTTCTCTGTCCCTTTATCTGTCTGTCCCTATGTATGCTTAAATCTTTAAAACTACGCAACGGATTTTGATGCGGTTTTTTTTTACTAGATAGAGTGATTGAAGAGGAAGGTTTATATGTATAATAACATCCATTAAACAGTGGAGAAATCAATAATAAATTACAGTTTCCGAAGCGAAGCGAGGGCGGGTCGCTAGTAAAAAATAAAAATAAAAACAGTACGTCCCAACGTCAGTTATAATAACGTTTACAATTTGCTAGTTTGTTTCAGTTTTACACGATGCTATTCCTAGATTGATCGCGAACACGTGGGTACGATTTCTATAAATAATATCGGACATTCCCTCAGTAAGCGAATGCTGATGACACGTGAAAGTAAAATGCAAATTAATACTCACCCTACTATCTCTAAACACATAACGTCATATTGACATTCTGATCATTGATTTCCTATAGACGTGTTTGGAAGCATTCATTTCGGAATGTCCTGTACCGCGCTAATGATATTAACCTTAAAGTTAAATATGTACATGATTCTTTTTTAATGTCTTTGTAGATAGACGAGCTTACGACCCACTTGATGGTAAGTGGTGACCGTTGATCATGAATGTCCGCGAATCTAGGGCCACAGTCAAGTCGCTTTAAAGTAAAATATTTAGCTCTTGAGTTTGATCTAGATATTATCCAGGTTGGAAACGAGAATAAGCAGGACCTAATCGCACTTTGAGTGTCTTCTTAATTTTTAATCTAGTGACTAGAAAGTTTGAGAAACGCTGACCCAATGACAACCACGTGTACTTTTTTCGTGTAATAATTTTAACAAAAAGATTTATTACAAAGATTGATGTGAAATTTGATTATTATAAATTTATTTTTCACTCCTTGTCGTGCCGTTTACATTAGGGAAACTGATGTTGGTCTCTCTCACTTATCCCAGTGAACAGACAGATGTACTAACAATACAACAAAAATGTATAAAAAAAAAAAACTTACTTTACTAGTGGTAGGACGTCTTGTGAGTCCGCACGGGTAGGTACCACCACTCTGCCTATTTCTGCCGTGAAGCAGTAATGCTTTTCGGTTTGAAGGGCGGGGCAGCCGTTGTAACTATACTGAGATCTTAGATCTCAAGGTGGGTGGCGCATTTACGTTGTAGATGTCTATGGGCTCCGGTAACCACTTAACACCAGGTGGGCTGTGAGTTCGTCCACCCAGCTAAGCAATAAAAAATAAACCGTAATGAGCTGAGAACATTTTCAGTGTAAAGTTTAAGTCACTCAAATATATCTGCATTATTAAGTATAATTAAAAAATACCACTCAGTTTTTGATAAAATTTCAAGGGGAACACGAGACAAACACGAACAGTCAAATTAAAAAATAACCATTTTAACATAAAAAAACATGAACATAAAAAACAACCTTCTTTTTTTTGAAGTCGGATAAAAATATAAAAACCCATATTCAATGTAGGTTTAGTCGGGCTGTCACTGTTATTGTTACGGTCGCGTGTGACATAACATATCGACGTGACCGCACGTAATAAATGTCGGCGGGCGACACAGTTGATGTGGTGTCGGTAGGTACGGTCCGTCAGCGCGGTCACACTGCTTCTTTATTTCCTTACTTATTTGCTGGTAGCCTGGGCTATTCCAGCTACGCCCGGTAGGTGAGAGAGAGAGAGAACATACTTTATTGCACACCAAAACACAATTAACACCAGAAAACAGTCAACAAGCATAATTTGCGTAATTACTGGTGGTAGGACCTCTTGTGAGTCCGCACTGGACAATACTGAGACCTTAGAACTATATCTCGAGGTGTGTGGCGCATTTACGTTATAGATGTCTATGGGCTCCAGTAACCACTTAATAGCAGGTGGGCTGTGAGATTGTCCACATACCTAAGCGGAAAAAAAAAAAAAATTGGCGGTCATATCGCTAAAAGCGTTCTCTTCCAGGCAACCGTTTAAATAACCGAAATTCTGGACAGATAAAGATACAGCAGGTATGTTGCGGTGTACTATTAACATCACATCATGAAAGAAAATACATCTATATATTAATACGTGAAGCAAAAACTTTGTATCCCTTTTTACGAAAATTGCGCGGACGGAGGAGTATGAAATTTTCCACACTTATAGAGAATATAGAGAAGGAGTGCACAATGCTAATATTTTTTTTTAAATAATGCTTAAAAGATACTTTAAATCCATAAAGAAAACATTACACACACTACATACCATGTATTTGACGCACACACGCATGCATACTATTTATTGTCAAACTTTTGTTCTTAACGTCTGTTGTCAAATTGAGAATAGATTAAATATTGTTTGTCTTTGTTAATATTTTTTATAGTGTAGTCTTGGCGAAATTTGTGATTATAGAAGTATAAAATACAATCATAATAGTGTACAAACTTACAATTCCAATTAATTATAGTCGAATTTCGATTACATGCTGCAGGAACTCTAGTACATACAATAAGGTGAGCTCACGGGCTCAACCTAAGTTATTTTGCTAAAACACACACATAGTAAGAGCAGTGCTTCGCTGAATCTACCACCGGATCGCGACCCACTGAGAAGATCCGACGAGAGACTCGGTGGGCTGTGTCTATAGGTTAGTTGGCTCGTCGAACTCTTCTTCGTAATCGACGAGCTTGACGAGAACGATGACCGGTGCTTTTGAGGGTCCTAAAAGAATCGAGAGTAGATCCTGGGAACCCGATAAGACATGTGACGGCGGCTTTGAGTTGCCCCGATATGTAATTAATGGCGGCCACGATAAGAGGGTTTCATCTCAGCCTGTCCACTGCTGAACATAGGCCTCTCCAAGTGATCTCCAGTGTGGCCGGTCCGTTCTTCCGGTTCTCCGTGTGGTGACGGAGTAAGAATACAATGTGTCACCACCCCTATACTATTTCAGGGAGTCGTAAGAACCGACTAAGGGAATATGCACAAGACATATAGTGCAAAAGAAGGAAAACTCTAAATTAAACCCTGTACCAACCCGTCTAGCCAGCGTGACACAGTAGGCTAAATACCTCCATGTTGAGAGGGTTTGCACTGCAATAATTAATGCGATTTACTAGTGCTAGTAACTATACTGAGACCTTAGGACTTATATCTCAAGGTGGGTGGCGCATGTACGTTGTAAATGTCTACGGGCTCCAGTAACCATTTAACACCAAGTGGGCTATGAGCTCGTTCACCCATCTAAGCAATAAACAAAAAAAAAGTCACCTAGTACTATCAGGCAGTTCATTTTTGTTTCGTATTGAGGATGAGACAGATATTTTTAGTTCAGTTGGGGTTTTAATCTCCACGTCTTAGGGTGGGTTCAGGTTGTTATACGTAGGTAGAGTAGGTACTCTGGTGGTCGTTTGATTAGAGGTGGGTGGAAGTTTAAAAATGAATTTAGTAATGAATATACACTGTGGCTGATCCGGATGTGCGATCACGTAGACAATTCAATTGGAGATCGATCAGAGCGACCTTGCATTGTCCGTTCGTTTGCTGTCTTAAATAAAATAAATTATGAATGTATTAAAAAAAAAAAATCGGGTCCTGTTATAAAGATGAGCAGCCCAGCTGAGGGTTAATGGTTATCAAATCAAATCAAATCAAATTTTTTTTATTCAACATAAATGAAAGTACATACTTGTTGAACGTCAAAAGAACTACCGCCAATCCACAAAAACTAGCCTCCGTCCTGAGAAGAATTGGCAAGAAACTCAGCGGGAATGTCTTTTTTCTTTTTAAATATTAGGTTTTTTTTATATTAGATTTTTTTTAAATATTCCTTTAGTTACTGTTCAGACGTTGACGATGACAGGGACTACCAGTGGCATAGCGACGGGGGCAAGGAACGGCGTCATGTCCTGGGTGCTACTCACAAAAGGGCGCCAAATGGTACACAAAACAAAAAGTTGCAGAAAATTATTTCGTGTCCCCGTAGTAATCGTGCCCCAGGTGTGAGTTATGATCGTTACCCTACTGGGCACAACTAAGCCTGCGTTCTGTTACTAATATTAAAGTCATATGTAAATACTTTATGATGTGTGAAATACTTGATGACTTTATGATGATGATGATACCACCGAAGAAGACATGGATGGAGTGTGTGAATGAATGACAATATGAGAGAGAGAGAGAGAGAGAAGAAAAATTCGCTGTGCTGACCCCACCTAGTGGGAGAAGGTGGACAAAAGAAGAAGTAAATACTTTATGATATATTGTATTATACGGATATTATGTATACTTATTAACATCATTAAATTAGTATTTTTGATGCAGTAGGATTTTTTTTGTTTCTTATCCTTTTATATTATTCTTTATTTCAGATTTGTTTTAGTAATGTATTTTCGTATATTAATGTAATTAAATAAAAGGGGGCAATTGAAATCGAGACTATCCAACTGCCCTCTGAAACATAATTTGTTATTATAATAATAATAATAATTTCTTTATTTACTACATAAACTCTTATATCGTGACCTAGAATATTATTTACATATTTAACAAACAGAGATTACGCAGATGGCATCAACAATATAAAATTAACCAATGATCCTCACACTAGGCATAGCCTGTATCGTGAGGACCAAAATGCTTATTATGTTTCTGTCAGCCCAAAAATGATTAGGATCTAAAGAATCTGGAAGTATATAAAGCTGTCTTACGTTGTGGTTATCTTTTGTCTAGATAGTCCTTGGATGTTCCGTGTTCGTTTAACAAAAACAAATGGTTATTGTTGCAGGGGCGCGGAGCTGGGCGACGTGACCTTGCTGCGAAGGATGCCAAACGTTGAAGTCCTCGCTTTAAGGTGAGTCCTTAGCGTAAGTGCTATGTTGGTGACCCCTACCCAACAAGTGACTCCCCTTGCACTCTCTCATCCGACGTCCGACCTTTTTGTTTATTGATAGGTGGACGAGCTCACAGCCAACCTGGTGTTAAGTGATATGGCGGGTAACCATCATACAACGCAAGATATTTCACAGATGCCTGAATCTCGCTTACGACATTTCCAAGATAAGCTTGCATATGTACAAGTTCCGAATAAACATTTGGACCGTCGGTCTACCGAGCAAATATCATCCGCTCGGTGGAAGATCTTCCTTTCGTTCCTCTCAAATTGGTTACTGGAGCCCATAGACTTAAATGCGCCACCCACCTTGAGATATAAGTTCTAAGGTCTCAGTATGGTTACAACGGCTGCCCCGGCCTTCAAACCGAAACGCATTACTGCTTCGCGGCAGAAATAGGCAGGGCGGTGGTACCCACCCGCGCGGACTCACAAGAGGTCCTACCACCGGTAAAAAATCTCCACTCTCCCCTCGCAGTCAGGGCCCGGTCAGGTTAGGGGGTTCCCGCTGTCAACACCACAACCAGACGTGCGGCGCCACCCCTAGGACGCCCACCGACGGCGAGGCGATAAATGTTGGTGACTCGATTACCGATTAAGGACCCCTGAGAAACAAAGGACAACCGGTCCCTCACCATGCAATGGAGTGTTTTGTGCTAGTGACTGGTTGGCTATGCCGGTCGCTCAATAACTTGGATGCCACTATCTTGAGACCTTGAGACCTTGACTTATAAGTTTCAGTTCTATAACTGAACTTATGCCAGATTTATGGGAACCACTCTTTTTTTCGCCCACTACCTATTCGCTGGTAGTCTAAGGAGGATATGCTAGCTGCGCTATGAATGATTTGTGTGGGTACTATTATTGTCTTTTTTAGCAGTGTTTGGTGACAAGACATCCCGTTATTCATTACTCGCTTAAATGCTTATTAAGGCTATCATGATAATCGCCTTATCGTTGCCGTTGCTGACTACTCCCCGAATCCTGATCATGCAGGAGCCAGTCACCGTCGACGCCCAAAGACACGTCCTTACAGATCCATCAGATCCAATAACTCTTGCATTAGACGCCTTCAGCTCTAACACTAGGAGCAGGTTTAGGGACCCCGGTAACCGTACTCGTCAAACTTGACAAAGAGGTCGACGTGCAACCTAACCCATGCATCAGCCCGTTGAGTTTCTCACCGGATATTCTCAGCGGGTCGCGATTCCGATCTGGTAGTAGATTCATTCACGAAGCATTTGCTCTTGAGTTGTTAGGTCTCCTTCGGAGGCGCTCGGGTAGCTCGGCGGGCTCGATTAGCAAATCCCACCCCACCTGGCTGAGCATTTTCTCGCCCACCTGCCCTGGCTAAACTGAAAAGGCCTCCGGGCCATTAGTAATCCTTCAATCATAAAAAAAAAAACTTATTAAGGGTAAAATTAAACGTTTTGTCATTAACATTTATCGCAATTATCGCACGTTCGCATGGCTTAGTAGGCAAATATATTATTTTATGATAGTATTTCATTTAAGTTCTGTTGCAAATATTCAGATGCTATGTAGATGTGTTTTAGGATGGTATTTCTGTGGATTCGCGATATAACGCGACAAAGACATAGTGTCACCTTCTCCAATATCACTTTCGATTTTGACAAAAGACAAAGAAAACTAATTCGTTACCCTCATTGTGCTGCAAAGAATGAAATCGTATTAATTCAAACCGTTCAACGGACCACCGCAAAACCGGAAGGCGCAAGGACGCGACCAATCAGAGCGTGGAGCGGTCGTGTTGACCAATAACGTGTCCGTAATACCGGCGACTATTGACCAATTACGTTCATTTGTTAATTTTCAAATTTGTTTGTTCTTTAACCCCCGCCCACCTCCCCGGGTAATTCTGACTATTATGTATGGTGGATAGTAAGTAAAGAGCACCATCTCAGTTGTAAACTTCGCTTCTAAGAGCCCGGAAATACACAGATTGCAGTAGTTCACTTGATTCTGTATTGCTTTATGATCTTGTGGACAGAATGGTAGACAGTCGACGTCGCCCTAAACACGTCATTACGGATCTTCCGGATCTCAGCTGCGTGGATGGCATCGTGGACCGAAGTGTTGAAAGTAGACCGTATCTAATTCGACCAGGGCATTGGATTTCAGCCTCTAGGCCTTCTTCCACATACCTTGCCTGTTCACCCATCAATGCAATAAAAAAAGCTAATCAATATCAGTAACGTCGTTCTGGTGGTAGGATCTCTTGTTTGTCCGCACGGGTAGGTAGCATCACCCTGCCTATTTCTGTCGTGAAGCAGTAATGCATTTCGGTTTGGAGGGTGGGGCAGCCGTTGTGACTATACTGAGAATTTACGTTGTAAATGTCTATGGGTTCCAGTAACCACTTAACATCAGGTGGGCTGTGAGCTCGTCCACCGAAATAAGCAATAAAAAAAAAAGAAACAGGGCTCCAAGTAATGTCTTTACGTACGTATTACAAGGATCCGAAAATATCTGGTTCCAGTATCAACAAAATCAGGACGCTGGGCGATTTCGCGGGCTGCCGGCGTCTCCGGGAGCTTTACATCAGGAAAAACGAGATCAGGGAGCTGAACGAAATCCGTCATCTGAGGCATTTACCGGACCTGACCAACCTCTGGCTGGACGAGAACCCCTGCACGCAACATCCCGAGTAAGTGGAAATACGCTCCTATGAATTATGAATATGTAATAACGATAATTGGATTGCAATAACAGAGCAATGTAATTGGTAATTAAGATTATAATGATCTTTAAATCATGACTGTGTGAGCATCAGAATAAAAAACTGAATAGATTTCGAATGATATCTTTTGGTAAAACATAATACACGAAGAAAAATGGAATTTGGAATGAACTCCCCTCCACGGTGTTTTCCGAGCGCTATGACATGTCCTTCTTCAAACGAGGCTTGCGGAGAGTACTTAATGGTAGGCAGCGGCTTGGCTCTGCCTCTGGCATCGCTGACGTCCATGAGCGATGGTGACCACTTACCATCAGGTAGGCCGTATGCTCGTCTGCCTACAAAGGCAATAAAAAAAAATGTCCATCAATTTCATTTACCTAATAATCTTGATGAGGACCTTTGCAGTAGCGTTTGGGGAATAAAGTTTCGATTACCATTTATAATCTAATATTTTCGTTACGTCAAGCTGCTTTTGGTGTTACGTTAGCCACAAATGACATCACCATAGTATGTACCCACCGTTCTGTACTGACATATGACGTGTTGTTTAATCTGGTCCCGAATGCCACACGTGATGGATGTGTTGAGCGAAGATTTATCCCTTGTTTGTGTTTCTGATAAAACAACACTGGAGAATGGTAGGTTTGATCGAACCCTGACGATAAACTTAGAATGTGGGTAGTCGAAGGTTTTGTAATAGTTTGAATGGGTACTTTTTGGCGGGAACGCGAGGAGTGAAGTTGTGTGATTTGTTTTATTTTGTCTATTTAGTGTTTCTTCGGGTTTAAATGTGTTAACTGTTTAATATCTGTGAAAGTGCACAAATGTGGAAAAATGAAACAAAGCCGCTGGACGTAACTTCTCGGGATCCTCCAAAAAGTCCACTGAAAAAATCTTAGTAAATGACCACCATTTTACTGAGATTATATTTCATCACATTTCATTTCATTTCATTTCATTCCAGCTGATTAATGTCTCAAATTAGTCGTCTTCATTTCATTTCACTCCATAATATCATTTTTCATGAAAATATGAATATAAATTAAAATAAGACATGACTTAAAGGTCTCAGTTACGAGGTCATAAAATCCCTTAAAAAAAAAAGTTTGAATGGGTGGGTAATGATTCGGTATGCCTTAACGGATAACGTTTGCAACTAGCGTTTATATTTTTAATTCCAGGTACAGAATGACGGTGCTGAGGAACCTGCCGAACTTGGAGAAGCTAGACAATGTGCCAGTACAACCGGACGAGGTGAGGACCAGCGAGGAGTAGCCAACGCCGCTTAGGTTCGGCGTTTTGTGGCTACACGAAATAATGATTGGAAGGCTTTTGTGTTGTACCGGTTTTTCGTATAGCCTAATAGATTCGTAATAGATTCACCAAGATGTCTAATGTGGCAAACAGAAATCGACGCGACGATAAACTATGTTTTCCAAAATCCAAAATTACATTAAAGACTAATAGTATACTAGGTATGAGCATTAGGATATTTAATAAACTACCTAAGAAATTAAGAGACCTAGATGATTCTCATTTTAAGAAAAAAACAAAAAGATAATCTTAATAGTGAAAATTATTTTCTTAGGGACGACATTGAAAATAAATGGATTTTTTAATTATTGTTGGAGTATGGATGAATGAATGGTAAATTATATATTATAATATCTTGCACTGCACTAAAATTCGCATGTCAAATGCTAAACAAAACATACACGCTGTTTTTACTTATGTAATAACTCATTTTCACTATGCTTGGCGAATAAATGATTTCTTTCGTGGACTGCCCTCGTCGCGTCTGTCAGGGTATCCGGTATACCGACTGGAGCGAGCAGGTCGTGTCGGTCGTTGCAGACCACTCGGCTGACTTCCGCAGAAGCGGTAGCTCGTGTACAAAGAAGTAGCCATGATATGAGTTCTCTAACTCTCAATACACCCTTCAAACGGGACTGCTTTACTTTTCGATGCCAAAATAGGTAGGGGGGCGAGACCTACCCGTGAGGGTTCACAAGATTACCATTAAAAACCATTGCGGCTACGAGCATTTCAGGACAGCTCACATATATTTACATACATGTATACTACAATTACTCTTTTCGTGTGGTGTATGGTATACTGATGGCGAGTCCGCACGGGTAGGTACCACACCTCTATTTCTGCGGAGAAATAGACGGACTCTTCGGGAGGAGGTGAATTGCAAAATGGGGCGTGAAGTCGCAGTATTATGGAGACGTGTTCTGAATATGGCTCCGAAGATCGAACCGCTTTGAATCAATTTTTACGCAGCGTAGGACCAGAATTTAATACCTTAGCCTTGTGAGCCTTTGTTTGTCTGTCAATTTGTCATCTCGTTCATGTTCATCACGGGAAGTTAACCATTACAGGTCCAGGAGGCGATGCGCCGCGGGGCCCACATCCCGGACTCTGACGACGAAGGCTACCCCCAACCGGTAAATACTCCTGTTTTTTTTATAAATGTACATAGATGTGGCTTACAGTGCACCTGATGGTCAATGGTTCGACTGTGGATTTCAGGAATACCAGGGTTGATCGCTCAAGGCACTTTCAGACCACATTTGAGGAATAAGGCTGGTCTGTTAAGGTCTGGTAGGATGGCGTATTTTCAACACTAAGCAAGTCACTACGAATCCTCCCGATCCACTAACAGTGCTTTTAGGTACCACAAGCACCGGTCACCGTCCTCGCCGAACTCGTCGCTTGCGACGAGTAAATTAACCCATAGACAGTCGGCCCGCTGAGTTTCTCGCCGAATCTTCTCAGTGGGTCGCGTTTCCGATCCGGTGGTAGATTCTGCGAAGCACTGCTCTTGTTAAGGCCAGTGTTAGCAACGCTCCCAGTTTGAGCCCCGTAAGCTGACCTACTCGCCTGCTTACGCTGACATAGAAAAAAAAATGGATTAGCAGTTACCACTTTGTTGTCTTTAGTTCACTGTGCGAGGTCAGTGCAGCTTATCCTCTTTTCCATTGAGTCCTATCATCAGCACTCACACCCTGCCCTCGCATATCCTCTCAGTCTATTCGAGTCTTTTTAGGACGCTCCCTCCTCACACTCCCATCATACCTGTTCAGCAGCTATGTTATTGAGACTTATCTCAAGATTACGGTATCCTCTTAACATTGTTGAGCTGATCTCAGGATGTCGGCGCCTACCCGAGCCCACTCTTCCGACCTGCATTGATACGATTTGGTTTCAGCAAGAAACGTACAGTCAGTACAGACGGCAGAGGTCGTGCGAGTCCAGTCCGGAGCGGGAGTCGGAGCAGTTCTACACCAGACCACCGAACAATAGGCTTGAACAGGTATCTGATTATTTATTACGTGTGTATTACGTGTGTATATGGCGTGCATGTGAATTGGGCACGTGAAGCGTGTTCGGGAGCGTTCACACGACACGACACGAAAAACACGACGGACGACACGATTTGTCGTTTTGGCATCGTGTGGTTCCCATTTTTTTTTATTATTATTGCTTAGATCGGTGGACGAGCTCACAGCCCACATGGAGTTAAGTGGTTACTGGAGCCCATAGACATCTACAACGTAAATGCGCCACCCACCTTGAGATATGAGTTCTAAGGTCTCAAGTATAGTTACAACGGCTACCCCACCCTTCAAACCGAAACGCATTACTGCTTCACGGCAGAAATAGGCGGGGTGGTGGTACCTACGCGCGGACTCGGAAGAGATCCTACCACCAGTAAAAAAAGTTGTGTTAGATTATATTTGATTGAAATTACAGTTTGGATGTAAAGTGAAAATGGGGTTGTAATAGCAGCTGGGGGTGGCTGTATCGTCTGATGAGCAAACGAACAGATTATTACCAGTTTATATATATATCTAATATCGTTGATCTTCATCTGCGTGTCTACACGTGATGTCCGATATCGTTACCACATTTTATTGTGTCGTGTCGACCGCCTTAAATTGGATCGTTTGCTCTTAACCCGGGCGCATATTGTACGTCTCTGTTACTAATGCAACCAATGAAAGATTAACCATTCGTCAAGTCTGTGTGAGGTCTACTTGATAAGATGCGTGCGACTTTTTGGCGGGAACGCGAGGGGTGAAGTTGTGTGATTTGTTTTATTTTGTCTATTTAGTGTTTCTTTAGGTTTAAATGTGTAATAACTGGGTAGCTTATTCACTGTTTAATATCTGTGAAAATGCACAAATGTGTGCTAGACGTAACTTCTCGGGATCCTCCAAAAAGTCCACCAAAAAATCTCAGTAAATGACCAACATTTTACTGAGATTATATTTCATCCCATCTCATTTCATCTCATTTCATTTAATTTCATCCCAGTTGATAATGTGTCAAATTAATCATATTCATTTCATTTCACTCCATATTATCATTTTTTTATATAAATAAGAATATAAATTGAAATAAGACATGACCTAAAAGTCTTAGTTACCAGGCCATAAAGTCCCTTAAAAAAATAAGATACGTTCGCCATTAAACTTTAACCCTTTTAGTGCTAAGCGTATTTTCATATATTTTGCAGAAATTTAAAACTGATTTTTATTAATTTGTGACATTTATATATAAGTGCTCATTTAAATTAGTCTGGTGTGATCCTCCTTTGCTTATGTTGTTTCTTGCTTGCTGATTGCTTTTGATTTCTTTACTTCTCTATTGTTTTAATTTGTTTATATAAGTGAGGACCTTTAGTTGGCTTTTTGTTTCTATTATTTGTTATATTATTATACTATGTTAGTTGACTGTTGGTTCTTCTTGCAATAAATAAATAAATTGCTAAAAGATTTTTGGAAAAAAATACCATCAAAAAAAAGCTTTAACTAAAAATATAAAAATCAATGCTAAATTCACAGTAAAATAATGTGAAAATGGTTATGTATATGTATAAATGTTAATAACTAATTAATAATGTTACTAGTATCTATAATCGAACTTCGCAATAGTCGGTATTCCGACGCTCCGCACTTTATACGAATTAATAGAGAGTCGATCTATCGACGGTTCGCGCTCAAAGGGTTAAAGTTAACTGTGTGAGAGTCTCTCGTAACGTCGCTGTAAACGGACGAACGATTAAATGTAATGAAAATTCTGACAGTACACTGGACCGGACGGCCGATGACTTACAATATGCGCCTTAGCTCTAACACTATGTAAGCTAATCTGTAACTCAGAGACATAAGGTCAGATAGCCGTAATTTCAAATAGAAAATCTTTAAAGATTGAATAATTTGGAAAGGATTTAAATAGGAGACTTTTTTAATACGCTTTTATTAGCTTCAGACGTATGTGTGTTAAGTATGTAACGGAAACTTTGAACATGATTTTGAGCCCCTTCAAAACGTCGGATTAACTTGAAATTTGGTATACTTATTAAGGAACGATGACAATTCAATTTAAAAAAAAAATAAAAAAAAAAATCCACTAAAAAATGAAAAATAAATAATAGTTTAAAAAAGCTAACCAAATACGCTTTTATAGAAAATCCAACTAAAAATAGTAATAAAATAAAAAAAAAAATTGAATTAAAAATAGTGTAGGAAAAAATGATTTTATTGTAAAAAAAAAAAACGTGGGGTGCTTGGTATCAGTAGTTATAAATATTTTATGAACAGATATTATGAGTAGAAGGGTTATTTCGATAATATCCTGAAAAGCACCCCACGCTTTTTTATAAAAGCGTATATTGTTAGTTTTTTTAAACTATTATTTATTTCAATATTGCGTTTAAAATTGCACTGCATAGTTTAGAGTCACCCGCGAATCCATAAAAACTAGATCTGACCTCGTGTCGACTGATTCGAGTAACCTTCCCCCCCTCTTCGCACGTGTCTCTGTGACTGCAACTAAATCGTCTAACGAGTGATGTGCTAACACGTGTGTGCGGTGCGCGCAGACCGCCGGCAGCGACAGCTCTGAGGGCGCGGACCAGCTCGAGGCGCAGCGCCTGGACGCACCCCAGGTAGGGATGTTCCGTGTTGGAAAAACATCGATAATCACATCGATAGCAGAACATCGATCCTCGATGTTTATTAAGCACAATTTTTAAAAAAAATGTGAAAGTGAAACTTTTTCGTCTGTGTGTCGCATGTCGCGTGACGGTCGGCCGCGGAGTAGGGATAAAGCGAAAGGCGTTCGTCAGAGCAGCCAAGGCCAATATGGCTGCGCCTATAGTTTGCAGCAGCTGACCGTGTAGTGTATAGACTTATTACTCATTAGTGTCAGTGCTTCACGCTATTTTGTTTGTTTTTGTCAGTGTATAATGTAAATGTTGTTTGTCAGAGTTAACTGTCTATACTGTGAAAAAAAGTTTCACTTTTACCGTGGTTTCATAAAACCACACAATCCTTTCTTTTTATTGCTTAAATGGGTGGACGAGCTCACAGCCCACCTGTTACTGGAGCCCATAGACGTCTACGACGTAAATGCGCCACCCGCCTTGAGATGTCAGTTCTAAGGTCTCAAGTATAGTTAAAACGGCTGCCCTACCCTTCAAACCGAAACGCGTTACTGCTTCACGGCATAAATAGGCAGGGTGATGCTACCTACCCGTGCGGACTCACCACACGTCCTACCATCAGTATTTGGTATTTGCACTATCTACAGCTCTCATTTCCCCTTAATCAGGGATTGTAAATCTAAATCAAGCCATTGCGTTCTGTCGCTCAGTGCCCGATGTCGCCGACGCGTCGCACGACAGTCGCCAGAGTGTCGCCAGACTCTGATGAGCGATACGAGCACCCCGCCATGACGAGATCTCACTATGAAGTAAGTTGCACCGTAGCGACACCGGCTCCTACTTAGGGTCATCGATTTAATAATACCCCCCTTATATTTTTGTCTGATTAAGCCACATACCACATGGTGGTAGTGCCGGTAGTCTCGTGTGCCAAGTCTAAATACTTTATTATTATTATTATGTTTGGATCCTTTGAAATTGTATCGCAACACGCAGGGAATGAAACTGAAATGAAACTACCCTCTTTAGAGGACAATGCGTGGTCAGTTGCTTCCAGTCGGCTCCGGGGTCAATGACCCGACGCGTGTCTCGTAGTTTTCCGACTACCTTCGTTTCGTTTTCCACGTTGGATACAGTTAGTGACGTAACGTGTATGTGTGGACGCTTGCAGCACAGGAGCGGTCCGCGGTCCCCGGACAGCGGCACACTGCGGCACTCCTTCTCGGCACAGTCTGTCAAGGTATTAATATATATAAGCCCAATGAGTTCCTCGCCGGATCTTCTCAGTGGGTCGCGTTTCCGATCCGGTGGTAGATTCTGCGAAGCACGGCTCTTGCTAGGACTAGTTTTAGCAAATTCCCTCAGGCTTAGCCTGTGAATTCACTTACCAGCCATAGCGTGGTTGGAATAGCCCCTGAATTAAATGTCTTTTTTTTTATTGCTTAGATGGGTGGACGAGCTCACAGCTCACCTAGTGTTAAGTGGTTACTGGAGTCCATAGACATCTACAACGTAAATGCGCCACTCACCTTGAGATATAAGTTCCAAGATCTCCGTATAGTTACGGCTGCCTCCCGCCCTTCAGACCGAAACGCATTACTGCTTCACGGCAGTAACAAGCAGGCTGGCGGTACCTAACCGCGCGGACTCACAAGAGGTTCTACCACCATTAATTATGCAAATTATAATTTTTCACGTTGCTTTCTTCCCTAGGAGTATTCGTATTCGTCTAACGGCGAGTGCAGACAGGGCGCAGGGGGCGCGGGGCCGGCAGGGGGCGTAGTCTCCCCCCCGCACCACTACCACGAGCCGTACTACGAGAAGCCGGACAGGTGAGTACCAAGGACAGGCGCGTAGTCCCCCCCCCTGCCCCCGCCCTCGCTGACGTGTCCTGTGTGTTCAGGTCGGAGTCGTACCAGCAGATGCCGCAGCCCCGGTCGGAGGTGTGGGAGCAGGACAGGTGCAGCGCGCGCGAGCGAGAGTACCCGTCGGCCGTGATGGCGGAGCACAGGGGGTTCACCAGGAGACCGGTCACCAGGGTAATCAGTTTGGGATATATTGATACACAGACACATATTTACTGGTGGTAGGACGATTTGTGAGTCCACAGGAGTAGGTACCACCACCCTGCCTATTTCTGCCGTGAACCAATAATGCTTTTTTTAAGTGATTTTATGACCTGGTAATTAAGACCTTTAAGTCATGTCTTATTAAAATTTATATTCTTATTTTTATGAAAAATAATAATAGGAATGGAAGGAAATGAAGATGATTAATTTGAGACATTAATCAACTGGGATGAAATTAAATGAAATGAGATGAGATGATATGGTATGAAATATAATCTTATTATTTTACAGTGGTCATTTACTGAGATTATTTCAGTGGATTTTTTGGAGGATCGCGAGAAGTTACGTCTAGCGGCTTTGTTTCATTTTCCCGCATTTATGCATTGTCACAGATATTAAACAGTTAATAAACCACCATTATTACACATTTAAACCTTTTTTTTTTTTTTAACGGTGGGGAATCCATTTACGGATACCCGGTCGAGGGGGGTAACGGACCGGGTTATGTCGGACTCCGGCGCCTCCTTTGAGGAAGAAGAGGAGAAGAGAAGGGCCGAGGTCCTTCACCTCCCCCAATTTCTCACAGGAGACTACGCCTTGAAAAAGGCGCGCGAAGCACTTGCCCCGCAGAACGACTACCGACTAAACCCCATCGAGCCCCACCACTCCGACTTCACGAAACCCACGGTACCGCACAGTGCGCGCCGAAACACATTTAAACCTGAAGAAACACGAAATAGACAAAATAAATCACACAACTTCACTCCTCGCGTTCCCGCCAAAAGTCAGCAGTAATGCTTTTCGGATTGAAGGGCGGGGTAGCCGTTGTAACTATACTGAGACCTTAGAACTTATATCTCAAGGTGTGTATATTATAGCATCCGTGGCGGCGTTCACGCTATCATGTCTGTGCGGTTCAATAAACACTTAACATCAGGTGGGCCGAGAACAAGTTCAGAGTGTGCGACAAAATCAAAATGTGTTTCAATACATCGAAGCGCGCAATGTAAAGCGTAAATTATGTATTTAGGGTTGCCACCAAATTTTTATTTTCAGCCGGTATTTTTTTTTCTTGTTTCAGAATTCCAATTTACTGTCAGCCGTGCTGTGCCTGGTTAAAGAACTGGATTATCCGAGTCTCGAAGTAGCCGAGATGGCCGTCAGGTGAGTGAGGGGGTGACCGCCGGGGGGCTGTCAGTTGCACTGTCGCTGTCAATGTCATGGACATTACTAGTTACTTTCAAGCTTACAGAAATGCTTAAGTGGTTGGCTTCATCAGTGGATAATAGATAATCTCAAGGCAGAAAAAGCTTTGATCGAATAAGTTTGAGTATTAAGCGGTAGGCAGCGGCTTGGCTCTGCCCCTGGCATTGCTGAAGTCCATGCGCGACGGTGACCACTCACCATCAGGTGGGCCGTATGCTCGTCTGCCTACAAGGGTGAGTGGTAAAAATGACGGTGTATGATAAATTATAGAACACCAAGTTTTAACGCTTTTAATGTAAACGCACACTGGTGGCCCTGCCCGCCATGCTTCTCTCTGCAAAGCGCGACACTTCCAGTTTGAAGGGGAGGGATAGTCGTCGTAAACTTGAATACGTCGTGGCCTAAAGGATAAGACGTCCGGTGCATTCGTATGTAGCGATGCACCGGTGTTCGAATCCCGCAGGCGGGTACCGATTTTTCTAATGAAATACGTACTCAACAAATATTCGCGATTGACTTACACGGTGAAGGAATAGCACCGTGTAATAAAAGACAAACCCGCAAAAATTATAATCTGTGTAATTACTGGTGGTAAGTCTTGTGTGTCCGCACGAGTTGGCACCACCACCCTGCCTATTTCTGCCGTGAAGCAGTAGGTAATGCTTTTCGGTTTGAAGGGCGGGACAGCCGTTGTAACTATACTGAGACCTTAGAACTTATATCTCAAGGTGGGTGGCGCGTTTACGTTGTAGATGTCTATGGGCTCCCATAACCACTTAACACCAGGTGGGCTGTGAGCTCGTCCACCCATCTAAGCAATAAAAAAAAACTGCGTACTCTTTGTTACCACTGCGTACTTATTGTTACTACTGCGGACTCTTTGTTACCACTTCGTACTTTTTGTTACCAAATACCACCGGATGTTGAAGCAATAGAAACATGGTCCTTACTCTTCAGATGCAGAATGGACGAGCTGGCAAACAGCCAGTGACACACGGCCGCCAAGGATGGCGAACTCGATCAGGAATCTAAAGGTTAAAAATTGGCTGCAGCAGAGTGAGGGAGCGGTATTGGTTTTCGTAAACAGAGCGGTGTTGTTACTTCGAACGCTTTGAAGAACTCTGCTAATAATTTATATTTTTTCACGAGACCCCTGTGAAACTCAAGTTGTATATGCGCTATACTGAATAAACTATTTATATATGTATATATAAAAATGAATTGCTGTTCGTTAGTCTCGCTAAAACTCGAGAACGGCTGGACCGATTTGGCTAATTTTGGTCTTGAATAAACGTGGAAGTCCAGAGAAGGTTTAAAAGGTAGATAAATATGAAAATGCTCGGAATTAAATAAACATAACAATTTTGTTTTTCCTTTGATGTGTCCCCCGTCGGACGGATTCCTTTTGTTTGTTTTAAGTTTATTTTATACAAAAGTTTAGATCTTTTATTTATCGATTGATGCACTAGCCAAATCGGTTCAGCCGTTCTCGAGTTTTAGCGAGACTAACGAACAGCAATTCATTTTTATATGTATAGATAATCTTCATTATGGAGGGTAGAGGTAAGGAGCGCCATCTTGTATAGGGGACAAGTTGTAATAGTATCCACGTGTAAACAGCAAGTTATTATTGGAAGACTCACCGAAATAGCGCTAGTGTAGGAAGTGGAAATGATATGAATATAGCAGCTATAAACAGAGTGAAGTGTGCTAGTTTACTGGTGGTAGGACCTCTCGTGAGTCCGCGCGGGTAGGTATCACCACCCCGCCTATTTCTGCTGTGAAGCAGTAATGCGTTTCGGTTTGAAGGACGAGGCAGCCGTTGTAACTATACTGAGACTTTAGAACTTATATCTCAAGGTGGGTGGCGCATTTACGTCGTAGATGGGCTCCAGTAACCATTTAACACCAGGTGACCTGTGAGCTTCGTCCACCCATCTAAGCAATAAAAAAAATAGTATATGGTGCTGTATTTAAAATCCTTCCACTTGCTACAGTGGCGCCATCTTAATTGGTCCTTTTCAGCGGAAACTTTTTAATACACTGAACTGGTTCTCCTTACGTCTACCCTCCTTAATCCTTATGAGCATGAATTAACTACTAAATTATTAAAATGTGATTAAACTCTAGATGCTTCTTTCAAGACAACTTCAAACTGTGCAAAAACCTTTTCTATATTCAATTTGAAAAGTTGATCAATGTTTTAGTAACGTTTTGTGGGTATTTTTATATTCACAAACTGTTAGGCCACAGTATAAATTAATTGGCGTGAGTACATAAATCGATTTGTAATAATTAGATATTAATTAATTAAAAAAAAAAAAAACAAAATGAACTGATTGTTAGATCGTATGTTATTGTCGGCGTTTTACCGGTGAGCGTGTTGCTCATTTTGCGGTAAGTGATCAACGATATGTATCTAGAAATGTGTATAGATATCAGGGATGGAGGTCCAAATAAAAATTTCGATGCCCCCAATGAGCAAACACTACTCTAACTCAAAATTTTGAAATTGTCGTTTTTCACGCAAATCGTTTCACCATTTTAAAAGTATTACAAATTCATTATTGACGGGGTTCGAAGCAACAGTAAATCAGCTAGTTACACAAGAAAAAACCATAAATATATCTCCAATAATAAATATTTTATCAACTTTTTTCTTTTAAACGCTCCTCCTGTAAAGCTACGAATTTGGAGATAGAGCAGTGTTCATTGGAGGCATCGATTTGCGCAGTTGAATTTGCTAAACTTATGACTATATGTGTGTCAATAGAAGACGCGGGTTGAGCTTAGTTAAGAGAAACGGTCCTCCGGTCCTCTCGTTGCCTCTCAGGACAATCATAACGGAATCTATCTTCGTTTGCACCATATCATTTTGGAGCATATGAATTATATAGTTCGTCTTAAATAACAAAAAAATGCCCATTTATTTAACGGATTATACGAACTAAATTTATTATTAAAAAAAGTCGTTACAATCGCATGCGGTAGTATTGTATCCCGTTCTTTCGCAGGAAGCATCTTATATGCTATCTCTTTTTAGTGTCGTTTTTTTTTCCGTCGAATCCCAATAGTGATAAAGAAGATTCAACTCTAGAAAAATACGATAGGCATTTCGCTCTTTCTCGAAGCAGGTACGGGAGAGCAGACATGAATATAGCTCGAAGTACTAAGTCAAATTTCTCGGCACCTCCATTCCCTGCTGGCAACGTCAGAGAGTACCTAACATACTGTTGGTCATTTGCCCTGTGGACGTTTTAATCATCCAAATGAACCTCATGGAATGAATCAATTAATTATAGTAATATTTGTTATAGTTAATTTAATAAAAGTAACTTGCCGTAGCGTGATGTTTTATTGCATTCTTTGTAACCGGTCCCCCTGTGTCTGATATGCCCCCCTCCAAATCGTCCCCTGGGTGTGGCAAGGCAATTAGGGAATTCCCCCAAGGGCCCAAGTATCATAAAAGCGTACTGCGATCGCCAATTGGTATTTATGGCAGGCGAACTGTAAGCTCGCATGAGTAGGTACATGTTGTTACGGATCCTCCCGATCCATTAACGGTGCTTTTAGGTACCTTAGGGCTTATAGACACAGCCCCCTGAGTTTCTCGCCGGATCTTCTCAGTGGGTCGCGTTTCCGATCCGGTGGTAGATTCTGCGAAGCACTGCTCTTGCTAGGGTCAGTGTAAGCAACACTCTGGTTTGAGCCTCGTGAGCTCACCTACTAGTTCAGGTTACGCTGAAATAGCCTCTCAAGGCTCTCGGCTTAGGTAGGGGAAAAAAAAGTAAGTAACAGCGTGATACAGCGTGGGGCAACTATTTATTTATTGCTTAGATGGGAGACGGACTTACCTATATGATTTTAAATGGTTATCGGAGCCCATACACGATACAGGCATAAATTCCGCTACTCAATGAGTTCGTCTCCGTCCTATAGAGCGACGACTGGCTGGCAAACCTGACGACGTTGCTAACACTGACCCTAGCAAGAGCCGTGCTTCGCAGAATCTACCGCCGGATCGGAAACGCGACCCACTGAGAAGATCCGGCGAGGAACTCAGTGAGCTGTGTCTCTGGGTTAATATACTCGTCAAACCCTTCGTCGCAAGCGACGGGTTCGACGAGGACGGTGACCGGTGCTTGAGGTACCTAAAAGCACCGTTAGTGGATCGGGAGGATCCGAAATGACGTGTTTGGGGCGACGTCGACTGCTTTCCATTCTGTCCGCAGGATCGGGAATGTAGTTACCGGCGGCCACGATGAGAGGGTTCTCGTGTAGTGCCGCTTTATCGAAGTGGACGCGTCAGGAATATCAGATTTTATCTTAGAACTGAATAGTTCTTGGCGGGAAAGGAATGAAGCAATAATTTTTTCAATCAATGCAGGAGAGATACCGGAAATTGAATTATTTGTACGTGACATCAAAAGGTACCGGGTGAAGCTATGGTCTTTAGTACACCAGTAAAGTTTGGTATATGTCAAGTCATTTTATTGTCACTTCTACATTCAACATTTCATAATCTAGCCACTGGCGGCTGATGCTGAAGCCACTCCCCTTGACACGTGCGAGCGGCCGCTTGCGTAAGTTCTACCACCCTGGTGTTGAGACAGGGCGGATGCAGCAACATCCTCGCCGGCTCCGCCCGCGGTGGCTATGCTGCTGACGATGGGCAGCGGCTCCGTCTGGACTACAGCTAGGAACGCGACGAAGCAAAGGAGAAGCTGAAAGAGATTGGCGCTTGAATTAATCGTTCTAGAGGATTTTAAATAGTTTCCCAAACTTCTTTTGTTTATTGCTTAGGTGGGTAGAAGTGTTCACGGCCCGCCTGGTGTTAAGTGGTTACCGGAGTCCATAGACATCTACAACGTAAATGCCGCCACCCACCTAGAGACAAGAGTTTTAAGGTGTTTTACAGTACAACGACTGCCCCACCCTTTAACCCGATTACTGCTTTACGGCAGCAATATGCGGGGCGGTGGTACCTACCCGTGGGGACTCACAAGAGGTCCTACCACCAGTATTACCCACTTCTAATCCACTATTCCCAAATTATAATGTTAATTTATGTTTATAAGATCATGTTTTCGGGCTAGAGTAGCAACAGCAGATATCTTCTCTGGGGCGTCGTAAATAGTATCGGTAAAGAATACGCACCAGCATTCTGCAACAGAAGTCTGACTGTATTTAGATACATTTTAATGTACATTTGCTAGCGTTACTGTCGACAAAATACTAAGGGAATTTCTTTTTTGCTCCATCGAACTCTATAAGTATTTCTCTACCCCTGACAACGCGCATCTAATTACGTTGAGTACCTACTTATATAGTGAAAACGTGACCGCGTAGCAAATAAACAAATTACTATACTGACATTATAATTGCTATAGTGCCTTATCATCTATATATTAATACGTGAAGCAGAAACTTTGTATCCCTTTTTACGAAAATTGCGCGGACGGAGGAGTATGAAATTTTCCACACTTATAGAGAACTAGCCGTACCCGTCCGCTTCGCTGGGTTTTTAAAATTAATATTATAACTTCTCATACGAAAGATTCTCATCATTAACGCCCCCGCAACTGGTGTAGGGAGTCCAATACTCATATAAATATTAGCCTATCCATTAGTACATGTATTTTCTACATGGATACCAAGTTTCAAGTCAATCGGATGCATGGTTCAGTAGTTATAACGGAACATCCGTAACAACCACTGTAGATTTATATATTAGTATAGACTAGCGACCCACTGCGGCTCTACTTGGGACTTTAAAAAATTTTCAACTATATTTGACGTTGTTTTATTTTTTAAAAATAAAAGAACACTTATTGCGGCATAACCATAATAGTTAGACGTATGCTGCCGCGACACGTTTTTGTAAATAATAATGTGCTCTACAAAGTCGTAGTACATTATTTTAATTTATCATCAATAGTTTTCGCGGGATATATTTAGAGTTCCCGGTCCTTAAACAACTATCTAAATGTGAGTCATTAAGCTTTGTTCGGTATTGAAAGAAAATAATTATTTCGGATTACTTGGCAGTTTTAAATGCACGGTGTACGCGTGGTCTATTCGAAATACGATCACACACTAACAAAAAATACGTGCGTGTTATTAGATACGCTCAAGGTTAGCAAACTGCTAATCTATGCACAATCCTAAACTCAACTGAGTACTTGCTGTATATCGCCGTTTGACGAGAGTAAGTAAATCGCTCTGGCTGTCATACATTTACATTAGTCCAGCGAGGGCGCATTAAAATCGATCGGGAGCGCCG